GAGGGAGAGAGGGAGAGAGGGGGAGGGGGAGGGAGAGATCTTCACAGAAGAAAAGGCAGGCAATCGATGTAGAAGGAATGATACAGTAGCGGAATCTGAATTTTGCAGCCATGAGGGGAGATGATCAGCTCTGTCAGGGACCAGCGATGGGTGCTGGTACCGGTAGGGAGGCTGGGCAGGACTGAATGCTTTCCTGGTGGTGAAGCTCCACCCGTAGATCATTTCTTAACCTGGTGACCCCGGGGCCAGACCTGGCTCCCTTCCATCCTCGTCCTGACTTCACTTCCTCCTGGGGCAGTGAAACCCACAGCTTTGACTGCAACGTGGCTTTGCCTAAAACGTCTAACGCAAAGCAAGCGAGCCTTGGACCTAACTCGCAGGACACAGGGGCTGGAGGAACGGGTTAAAAACCACCACAGGAAGCAGTCAGACAAGTCCAAATGTGGGACTGGGCTGTCCTGGGCTTTCGGAGTGGAAGAAATCAGTTCTATCGTGAAACTAAATAAACGGTAGACATTGTAGGCTTTAGACTTGGCTGGTTCTCATTCTAACAGCAGCTGGAAGAGAAAACCGGAAAATTGTAAAAGTCTGCATGTTGAGTGGCTATTCGATGAGGTCGGAATTATTGGTAATTTCTGTAGGTGTAATATCAACATTGTAGCTACACGACTGTGTAAGAAATGTATTTCTAGGAGATATATACTCAGATGTGGGTGAAGTGTCATGATGTGTACCAGATATTTTCAAAGTGGTTTTTCAAGACTAGACACACTATAATACTTCTATATGCACATGGACCGATAAAGCACATAGGGTAAACAGTAGCTTGGATGCTACGTGCTGGAAACGGGTGTCATTAGATATGGTTTCTTTGCTTTTCTGTTTGGAGTTTTTCTTAATGAGTACTTGAAAAGTATGTGAAGATCAGAAACACAGGATACACAAGGAAGGGAAGCCGGAGCCCTGACCGTGAGGGGAGAGGTTTCCTGGCTCTAGATCTGGCTTCGTGTCCTTGCATCTCTGTTTTCCCTGTCTGTGACAGTGAATGTCTCAGGTGTGACTTTACACCTATGCGCATTTTAAAAATTAATTGTGGTAAAATACATAACATAGAATCTACCATGAAAACCATTTTTAAGCTCAGCGATATTAGGTACATTAGGTCAACATGCAGTTACCCATCTCGGTGGATGGTTTATCAAAGCCTCTTTTCTGTTTTCCAGATGAGTTTATTGGGACCTTTTAAAAACACTGCACACCAGCTGGTGTGGAGGTGCACACACCTGTAATCCCAGCACCGGGGCGGCTGAGACAGGAAGATGGCTGGGAATTTGAGGCCAGCCTGGGCTACACAGCGAGTTCAGAGCCAGCCTGAACATCATATTAAGCCCCTGTCTCAAAAACAAATAAAAGAAAAACAAAAAACAAAATCCCATCTCCCCACTTGCAAACCAAAATACCCCAAGAAATTAATTCTACTCACGTTGGCTTACACGTAAGGGGGTGCTCACATAAAGCTGTTACAATATCCTTTAGTTCACATGACTTAAGTAAATTGGCAAATGAGTCAATTTAATTTTCATGATGAGATCAAAGCAAGTGTCTTTACTGTGTTAGTGGCATGTTTGCCCAGGGTGCTAGCTGGTTATGTCTGTCTCTGTGAATGCCTACAATGTGATGACCATTGCTCTCTGTTCCAAGTGCAACAACTTTTGGGGTTTCCCTTTGACAAAAAAGTTAACTATTTTCATGTCTTTGTCTTCATGGGTAATCTAAGAGAGCTCTTCAAGTTGGAAAGTTAATTAATAAAAATGTTTGCAACCAAACAGTTGTCATGTTCAAGTAAGTTAAAAGGTATTATTATTATTATTATCATTTAATACATGTATGCAGTACATAATTGTTTATTGCACAGAATTTGCACGGGCACATTAACACATCCAAATTCCCTTTTTTGTCCCCTCCTGATCCCATCCCTCCCTGCTTCCTCTAACACTTACTCCCCTCCCCATTTGCCAGAGCAAAATTAAAGATAGATGACAGGAAGTAGGGAAAAGCCAGGATGGTGGCACCTGACTGTGAAGGCAGAAGTCCCAGCCCTGGGGAGGCTGAGGCAGGAGGATCACTGTGAGTTAGAGGTCAGCCTGGGCTACGCAGCAAGATTCTGTCTCGACAAAAATAAAAAGAAAGAAAGAGAAAGGAGGGAGCTCTTTTGCAAATGGGAGGGGAATAAGAGATGGAGGGAGGTGGGAGGAACAGAGGGGAAAAAATGAAAAAAAGAAAATTTGAAGAAAACATGGAAGTAAGTTAAAATGTTAAAGCATCAGTCGCTGAATATAAATCCATGTACTCGTCTCTTAAAATTAACACGCTGACGGTATGTTTCGGAAAAAAACAAAACTGGACCATTCATTGTGCAGAAATGCATTTCCAGACCCCTCGAGGCTGTCTGCACTGCGGCACAGGTCTCCGGGGAGGCTGAGGGGACCTCGGCACTGCCCTGAGTTGACAAGAGACAGCAGGTGCAGAACAACGCTTGTCCTTCAGGGCCTTCTGATGAAACTGTAGCCTCAGAAAATCTGGAAAGGCGGGGGGCATGCAAAAGAGATGCAAATTAGGTGCAAATCGCAGCGGGGCTCTCAGTGTTGGCCCCACCTTCCTAGTATTGATGGGCATGAGGTGGAGCTGAGGGTGCGCACGGCAGTAGGGCAGCTGTTTCTCAGGTGGGTTTGTATTTCCAGCCCCTGCACGGGTCTTAAAGTCTCCCGAAGTCTCCGCCTTTCCTCTGAGCTTTGCTTCCCAGGGTGGAAGCCCCTGACACAGGTAGGATTTGGAGGCACCAAGGCTGGGGACTCTACTCAGGGAGGTCACTGGGGTGTGGGATTTTACCCTCCCCGAGGCTGGCTAATAGACACACACACACACACACACACACACACACACACACAACGCACAGCTTGCTGGGTAGGCACATTCTTGCATCCATACACTGCCCTTACTGATAGGATGTGCTAGTGTGCTGCCACCCTATGTGGTGGGTGGGGTCTGTGCTCTATGGCACGGGGCCAGTTGCCCCCATGACGGCCGGCGTGGACTGGGCCACAGTGCCAGCTGGAGGTTGCTGCTTGGCTTCCCCTCCCATAGTTCCCGACCGCATTCCCATAATTCCAAGCCCCCAGTGCTCCTGAGAATTGAAAGAAGCCCATGGAGCCCTCGCCCTATTCAGCCACTGCTTAGACGAGGGATGGCAACCCTTTCAGAGAGGCGTGCCCGAAGTGCAACCCCAACCCACTTATCTATTGGCAAGCACCAGCACTGCAAGTAAACCCAAGTGCTGAGGTTTCAGTTTAGAAAAAACTCATACAACTTGAGACGTCATCGCAGAGGTCTCTGTGAGATCCGCAGGTTCACCATCGTGGGCCCAGGGTGAACGTCCGAGTCTTCGTTCCTTCCTCCCCCACCTGGGCGGCCTCTGTGTGGGACTCCGGGAGTCCCCGGAGAGGACTTGAAGGCGGAAGTCACGGGAGTTCATGGGGCAGTGACCAGACGTCAGGCGTCCCGTTAATAATCAACCTGGCATGGAAATGAGCACGGCCTCCACGACGGGCCAGGGAGCGCCGACTGCCGCGCTGTCCCCACTGCTCCCCATGACCTGATCAAAAGAGGAAGGACAGCCTGTAGTCAGCCGTGGACTGCGTCCGCTGGGAAACAACAGCTCACACGCGGATAACGCATGTTAATGCTCAGGAGATGCTTTTGCACGCATGGTCTCACTTGCCACCTGCCGCAAGGCCCATTTCACAGGTGGGAAGTTTGAGGCCCAGGGGCTCCAGCCCCGGCGGGAACTGGCTTGAGTCAGCTCCGGGCAGTAATCCCACAGTGGCCCTTCCTCCACCGGCTCGGTTCTGGAGAGTCCAGGGCTGCTGGGCCTGTTAACGGCCTCCCAGGATTTGTGTTTTGTAGAATGAAGTAACTAAGCCAGGCGTGGTGGTGCACGCCTGTGAGGCAGGACTCTGGGAGGCTGAGGCAGGAGCTTTGCAAGTGTAAGTCCAACTGCGGCAACTTAGCGAGGCCCTGTCTCAAAATTTAAAATAAAAACAATAAAAAGGGTGGGGATTGAGCTCAGCACGAAGGTCCATCTGTGTTCAGTCCCCAGGTGGGAGTTAGGAAGCCAGGCCTCAGTCCTGCCAGTTTCTTGGCTGCTAGGTAACTCTGCAAGTCTAAGGGGCCTCGGTTTTCCCTTCACAAGCCTCAGGCAGCCCCCTGCCCTTTGGCCTCCCCGGCCTCTGCTGCAGGAGGGCTTGTTTCCCTGTCCCATGCACTTAAGCTGTGACACAGGCACCCCCGGTAGCCCCTTCTCTGGCCAGGATGACGGCCCAGGGGCTTTGGGTCTTAAGGAGTCAACGCCCCCTGGCAGGGGACATCCCACTGGACCCGGAAGGCGAGACCCTACAGTACTCTGTGATAGCCACCGAGGCAGCGCAGGCCCATCCCTCCTCCACCCTTGAAACCCTGAGACTTCCTGCTGGGAGCACTGAGTGGTACAGCCAGCCTTTTGGCTGCAGCTGAAGGGCTTAGTTTCACTTGGAGTTTTGTTTTTTCAGTACTGGGGATTGAACCCAGGGCCTCCACATGAGCAGCATCCCCAGCCCTTTTTTATTTTGGGACAAGATCTCATTAAGTCACTAAACTGCCCAGGCTGGGCTCCACCTTGTCACCCTCCTGCCTCAGCCTCCCAGAGTGCTGGGATTACTGGCATCTACAGTACCATCATGCCTGGTTAGAGGGTTTCATTTCTCATGAGGAAAAACCACAAAGGGTTTCTGAAGAAGATTCCAATGAGAAGCTACCGTGGGGCAGAAGGAACTGAAGGACTCTTTGATCATCTTGTTCTTTTCTAAGGCTAGAAGTGGGGTCTGAGTGTGCCAGGGCTGCCCGGAGGCTTCGGGGGCCGGAACTGACACGTCACAGGGCTCTCCTGGCTCCTGCCCTAGTCCCAGCCTAACGGTCCTAAGGCCCTCTCTGCTACCCGCTCCTCTGAGGAGCTGGCCATCCTGAAGTGGACGCACCCCAGAACCTTGCCCCAGGGTCCCCTTTGCCTCCAGTGTTTCTGGCCCATGGGGTTGCTGTGGGCGGGAGGACAGAAGGCCAGGGCTTCCAGGCCGGGGTGTGAGGGAGGGACCCTCATCTAACTGGGGACACAGCTAAAGACTGTCGAGATTAATTTGAGCTGGAAAACGTTAGACAAATGTGAGCGGGAGAGCGAGGTGGACAGAAGGAAAGAAAAGGGGGGAAAGAGAGAGTGGGAGAAGCCAGGACAGTGAAAGGCCCAGACCAGAGGAAAGAGGGGGGGAAACAGGAGAGAGGCCAAAGCTATGCTAACGTGGGAGGGGACAGGAGCGTGTTCGCATCCTTTTATTTTCTTATTTCCACTCTGACATCACTACTCATACATTACTCTTGCGATTTAAGCAGCGCCTAAATGTAGATGATGTTTATTTACTCTTTTCAGATGGGTTTTTGTTAGCAGAAAAGGCAGGGGAGGCAGCGCCCCCGCGTGGCCACATGGCGAAGTGCTCCTCGTGGGAGCAACCATGAGGAAGGCGGAAGCTGGGGCCCCCTGCGACCCAGCCACATGTAGCCCCTGGCAAGGAGCCCGGCCTGGACAGAGTCCTGCTCCCCTCCACTCTCCCAGGACTTTTCTGTTTCTCTGCCCACTGCCCACCGCGGTCCGCCGAGGGCAGAGCATCTTCCTGGGCCAAGGTGCCCAGAGGAGAGGTCCGGGTGCAGCTGGGACCGGAGATGGCCCCTGACACCCGCCCAGCAGGCAGGCTCACCCCCTCCCCCGTCTCACTCCACAGCATCCTGAGCCGTCTCCAAGGAAACGGGTCACTCGTGGGGCTTCCCACCCAGCCAGCCCTGACTATGTTTTCCTAGTGCAGCATTTGTAGAGCCCAGCCACGATTGCTGCAGACTGAGAGAGGACCCAACTACGTTCTTGCCCTCGAGGAGCTGTGGGGTCATTGACCTTCTCTGTAGTCATGGCCGGAAGGGCCCAGCCCTAGGCCAAAGCCCACATCCCACCTCCTGGACTCGTGATTGGTGCCAGGATATGCTCATTACCAGGTGAGGCCAATCAGAGTCATTCCTGGGGCTCTTCCTGAACCCACTGATGGGAGGTTGCTTTGCAGAGGTGACATTTCAACTGAGACATACATGAGTGACAAGAAGGAGCTAGCCATGGTGAGACCCAGGAGTTGGGCTATTCAGGCAGAGCAGACAGCAAATGCAAATGTGCTGAGGTAGGAACAAGAGTCCAGACACTGTTGTTTGAACACCTGGATCCGGCCATACCTGAAGCTAAAAATTTTCAGTGACATGAAAGAAATGTTTTGTTGTTGTTATTATATGAGTTTAAACTGGGTCTCTGTAAGTTGCATCTGAAGGACTGCTGTCATTTGAGAGAGTGCTGACACTGTGAAAAGCATTGAGTACAAACCGGGCATGGTGGTCCACACCTGTAATCTCAGCACTGTGGGAGGTTGGGGTAGAAGAATTGCAAGTTCGAACCCAGCCTGGGCAACTAACTTAGCGACTTAATCAAGCCCTGTCTCAAAACCAAAAAATAAAAAAAGGGTGGAGGTGTAGCCCAGGGTGAAGGCCCTGGGTTCAACCCCAGTATCAAAATAAGAAAAGAGGGCTAAAGGTTTAGCTCAGTGGTTCTGGCGCCTGTCTTGCAAGCTCAAGAGCCCAAATTTGATCCCCGGTACAAAAAAAAAAAAAAAAAAAAAAAAAAAAAAAAAAAAAAAAAAAAAAAAGAGACGCA